GAAAGATGTGCACTTCAGAAGCACAGATTCGGCCATATATCGGCACATATTGACATTGGTTTGCAACCAATAAATCAGAACCTAAGAAATGTACAGTATTCATTTTAATGTGACAAACAGACAACTTTAACCACATTTAAGGTTTCAGTTTAATCTTTTCAATTAAGTTGCTACTTATACTGAAGTACTGCAGTTTGGAAGCCAACAATTAAAGAAGAAGTGTGAAGTCATGCTTCCATTTTATTGTACTTGGTATATAATCTCTGATTGTTGCTCCTCAAATTATATTGACACCCGTAGCTTCAGAGGCCTCAAAGCCATCACTTGCTTATCAATTTCTTTGCTTTAAATGAAATTCCTGTTCTAATTGTTAATTTAGTACACATCTCTATAGCTCACCTCAGGCTAAATCACTTCTGTTAGAAACATCTGCTTCTCAGCTGCAGTTCCAGGCACAGATATGATTCGTTCCAGTCGCTGTATTATGTCTTCTGTCTAGGGTAATATGCAAAGAAGAAAATGGAAAAATAGTTTTATACCATGCAGACAGAGAACATCATCAATACAATGCTATGAGCCATGTTTTTTTCACCCAGCCCTCTAGAGAGATGGAAACTTTTTTCTTGCTGCTGTCATCAAGTGCTTGCTAATGAGGGAATGTTGGGTCTCTGCAGTTAATGTTGTAAAGTGCCCTTACATACATGTATGTAGAGTACCACGAGTCAGTCAGTTTGTGATTTGGTGCTATGTATGTATAATAGGAGGGGAAGTTGTGGCCTAATGGTTAGAGAGTCGGACTTGTAACCCAAAGGTTGCGGGTTCGAGTCTCGTACCGGACCTCAAAGCCGCAACTTCCGCAAGGATCATAATTTAAGATGAATGCATTTCTGATGTTTGTGTTGTACGGTTTCTGCCATCAGTCAAGGCAAGGGAGGCAGAGTCTCTTTAGAAAAAAAAAACTGGATGAGAACGTTATCGATATTACAAAAATAAAACAACGCAAGTATTACAAAATGTGATATTAAAAAGTGTAAAAGTCACTAGTTTTTACAAAATAACTGTCCAACAGCGACACCCGCTGGTAAAGCTAAAAAGAACAGCTGAACATCAGTTGACAAATAAAATATATTGTTTATATTATTACTGTCTTTTGTTATTATTTTGGAATAAATATGAAAATACGTAAAAACACTAACTTGATGAGATTTATTGGTTTTGATAAACAGAATATTACATAGTGTAAAAATACAAAATATAATTGTATTTTGCCTTTTAAATGTAATGTTTATTTAATGCAGGGAGATGACAACAGTAAGGTTATATATATATATGGTTGAATTGTGCTTTTTAAAATCATCTGCAGGTAATAAATAAGGTATACGAACAATTCAGTGCTACTTGACATAGCATTTATTACAGTACATAAACTATTCTGCCTTATTATGTGATAAAAAAGAAAAAAAAAAGTGTTTGTAGTACTTTAACAAATAATTTATTGGTTATTGTCCAACAGTGTATCTGATTTATTAGCCAATTAAAAGAAAGAAATAATAGACAAAATAAAGTTTCCTATATACAGTATATATGAAGGGGTATGAATACTTTCGCAAGGCACTGCGTGCATGTGTGTATATATAAATATATATGTATGTGTGTGTGTGTGTGTATTCGGTACAAGAACCGCAGAATATAATGTCATACAGATATTTTTAATATTATTCACATTTTTTGTCCATTGTCCATCGCAATCAGTAGGCTAATTTCTAATGAAGAGACCAATTTATATGACAGATTTTAATGT